AGGGTTCCAGGGTTGTACCCCTCAGGTTTAGGGTTTAGGGTGGTTTCCCCAAAAAAACCCTTATTTGGCGCTTATATGAGCCAATATTGTGCCCTAGAAGTCCTTAAAAGGATCCCCAAATCCAGGGGTACAACCCTAGGGGTACAAGCCTGAACTCCTTGAGAGTAGCGGCGCCTGAAGAAGAAGTCACCCTCACCGCCTCGATGCCATCTTGTCAGGGTTCGGGGTTTAGGGTTTAGGGTTCAGGGTTTAGGGTTTACGGTTAAGGGTCTAGGGTTCAGGGTTTAGGGTTTAGGGTTCAGGGTTCAGGGTTTAGGGTTTAGGGTCTAGAGTTTAGTGTCTAGGGTTCAGGGTTTAGGGTTCAGGGTGTGCATCAGTGGACGCGCGCGGGGTGTGCGCCTTTTCTTTAGAGTTAGGGGCGCGCACCCTATCGCGCGCTTGCGCAGCTTAGTAGTCCCACCCCCAGCCACCCAAACTATGCTCATTTAAGGTCTAGGGTTCTTGCCCCCAAAACCCCCCTTGCAAGGGGGGCTTCTGTATTCTTTTTCTTCTCCAGGCCTATTGTTCACTCCTCGTCACGCTACCGCAGAGAGCATTCTCAAGTTTCGGACTTTCAGAAAAAAGGATTTGAGCAGCGCAGAGGGGTAGCGGAGGCCTTGGCGGGCCTCCACAGGTGAATCTCTTGGATTGGTGTGCAGGATGGGGTCTACAAAGCTTTGCAAGTTGCAAAATTGTTCGGAACCTTTGGAGCACTGACCCCTGGACAGCCTTGAAACGTCGGAAACTTCAAGGCCGGACAGAGCTTTCCGAAAGCCGGCCCTCCGAGCCGGGATTGGAGGTTCTAAAGCATGGGTGAGTGCTTGGAAGGCGACACAAAGCGCCCTGAAGTTTCAGCAACGCATAGGGGTGGCGGAGGCCTTGGCCGGCCTCCACACATGGATCTTAAGTTGGTGTACAGGCTAAGACCTACCAAACCTTTACAAACTCCTGAAATCTTTAGGCCTTCAAAGGCTTTCAGGGGCCTCCAAAAGACTTTGGCCTCCAGCAAAATCTAGGCGGGCAGGAGGGCCTCCAAGAAGGCCCAGGAGCTTCCAAGCCTCCAGAGAATTTGGACAACCTAAGCCTTCCTCCAACCTGGCTCTACAGGCTCTGGAGATTTTGGGAGGCCCTTGGGAGGCCTAGAAAGGGAGGCCCTGGGGGGCCTGGAGGCCTGGGAGGGTTTGGGCCACAAGGGCTCTAGAAGGCTGCCCTAAACCACCCTAATGGCTGAAAATTTGGCGTCCTACTTGAAAGCTGCGCTCTATAGTAGCAGCGCTACTAGAAGCCCCTGAAGGGGTTGTGCTGGGAGGCTTTACCCTCCCAGGCCCGCAGGTTCGATATGGTGCCAGGCCAGAGGCCTGTCCCAGAAGCTCGAGCCCATGTAAAGGGTCAGCGGCGCTCTGGCCAGTTTAGGGCTCAGGGTTTAGGGTTTAGGGTCTAGGGTTCAGGGTTTACGGTTTAGGGTTCAGGGTTTGTAATTCCTGACATGCACTTATGATTTGCCTTCCCCAACCCCATCCATGCGCTAGGAATTGCAGCGCATGGGTAGGGGCGGACGCGTGCACCTCAAGGGCAGTGCACCTCATCTTCCACATAGGGTGTAGACGGGTTCAGGGTTTAGACGGCCTCTGGCATTCAAGCTGTAGGGCTTCAAAAAATTCGATTTATCGGGACGGTGTGGCTTCCACGAATATCCAGGGTGTTGACTAAGCTCTTTTTTCCCCTTTCGGGGGTCCCTAGTTCTGTATAGAGACGAGCTAGATTCAAAAAAGGAGACCTTCTCGGTATAAGGTTATTAGGGATCTTAGTATCGGTTTTTGGCAACGCTCTTAAAGCTCGCTTGCTTCCATTTGCTTCCAGTACCAGGTCTACAAAGTTTATCCCCTCAAACCCGGGGGTTTCGGGTTTAGGGTTTAGGGTTCAGGGTTCAGGGTTTAGGGTTTAAACCCTACACCTTTCCTCAAGGTTACATGGCAACTGTGTAGGATAGTCTTTGTAGAGTCGCTTCTGCCCCCCATGTTGGTTTGTTGGGAGGGTAACCCAGACCGACAAAAAAAGGATTTGAGGACCAGATCCTTGGAAGTTCTCGAAACTTTGTAGGGTTATTCAGGATTCGAGGGTCTAGAGTTTAGGGTTTAGGGTTAGGGTGTATAGGGTTTATGTGGAACTAGATAAGGAATCCAATCGTTAGATCCTCCCAGCGGTCAGGAAACTCCTTTGATCGCAGGTGTGCAATTTGCTGGTCGATCAGCTCTCCAACCACATGCTCTCGTATTGGCGTTTGCTTGAGGCGCGCTCCAGGAAACTGTAAATAAGAGTAGTCTCCATTAATGGGGGACGCTTTAATGTAGACCCAAAAATACTATGATCCTTTTCACTGGGACCTTCAAAATGGTACCTCTATTTTTGGGAAACCGCAACATTCCGACAAGCTCAGACGCAGTCATATACACATGTCGACAGTCAACTGGAGGTTGTCCAGTGGTTTGTTTCAGGAGTCCTGTATCCTTGGTAGCGGCAAACCCTCGAGTGCACCCACGGATTTGTTGGCCCTCAATTTTGCTTGTTTGTTTGTGGCCTTAGGCCTTAGATCTAGACCAACAATCCCTAAGCCCTAAACCCTAAACCCCTTATATCTAGACCAACAATCCCGAACCCTCTGAGCAAGCAAATGTCTCATCAGCAATGCTTTCCTGCGAGTTTCATGGGCAGACGATCTGGATACTTATGACTGACGAAAAAACCATAGTTTAGGGTTTAGGTTTACTGCCCCCACTCAGTTACAGTTGGATAATAATTGCAATATGGTTATATATATAGCCCTTAGTCGGACCCCTAATTTAGACTGTTACTGGGTGGGGGCATTACCCAACCCTAAACCCTAAACCTCATCAGGCCTCGCCCATCTTTTTTTGGTTCATGCTGGACCAAGCCGCCCGCGAGTTGTTTGAGGCCGTGGAGGCAACGAGGGTAGCTCTTACCGTAGGGTTGGCCTCGGTGTAGGGGTTTGGTGGGGGTTCAGGGTTTAGGGTTCAAGCCCTGAAACCTTAAGCCCTAAACTTTGGGTACTGCCCCCCCTCCGTAACAGTTGGATAATACTTATAATATGGAAATACATAGCCCTTAAAAGAACCCCTAATATAGACTGTTACTGGGTGCGGGCAGTACCCAACCCTAAATCCTAAACCCTAAACCCTAAACCCCCTGACCCCCTGGGCAGGGTGATCCGCAGCACTACTACGGGCTCCTGAGCTCTCTCTACGGCCTGACGTATTGGCTGCTTTGACGAGATTTTTGTGTCCCCGGTTTGTAGGGTTACTGAATGAGAGGATAAGAAAATGGGAAGTAGCATTTAGGGTTTTGGAGTTTAGGATCTAGGGTTTAGGGATACAGGCTTCTGGGATAGGGAGTGGTAAAGAAAATGCAAACTATTACACTACTGGGGATTAACGGGACTTGCATAAGGATCCATTCCTTGATTCCCTGCTTTCCAGAGGTGAGGTGTTGGATCTCCAAGCCTCAAGTCCTTTGAGTGGGGAATCCACGAAGCGTTTAAGTACGGGCATGTCTAAAGCATCACAAGTAGAAGCGCCACTAGAATGATTACATGCCTATGTTTAAGTGCCTGCCAGTTCGCCCCCTCTTGACTATAAATCCTAACCCATAAGCACCCTAAACCCTAAACCATTCAACTGCCTTAAACCCTTACCCCTAACCGATTCAACTCTAAAGCCTAAACCATAACCTCCAAAACCCTAATGGTCTCAGTTGCGGTTCCCTGAAGAGGAGCGCAAAATGCTGCAAAGATGTTTGTCACAAGAAAAGCTAGGAAAATACTTGCATACCGGGGGATCATGAGGGGGACAGTGGGGAGTTCCTCGTGGTGGGGGGATGATGGGTTTAGGGTTTCTGGTAAACTGCAATTTCAATTTTGAGCACTTTGTGTGTTTTGCTTACATTTGGCTTTTGGCAGAGAAGAGCTCGTATGATTCTTGAGGGAAGACGCGTATGGTGGACGCTCAGAAACCAATGCAGAGCGTAGCTGTAAACCCCAAACTGATTCAAGGAAAGCCCAGAAATTCACAAGGCCCAGGATCTAATGTGAGAATGAATCAAACTCGCAGCTGTTTGGACGAAACTGCAACTGAAGACCCCATTAATTAAGGTGACTTTGTGGTGGATTTGGGTACTTGGGCCCCAGAATGCTGTAATTTGGCTGTTTGAAGCAGGAGCTTCTTGTGTGCTCCCGGAAGCCCACGGGCATTTTCCCTCCTTTTGGGTTGTGGGTTTCCTTTTCCAACTATCCAACACAAAGAAGGTACCTTTCAGCTGATATGGTGATGGGTTACCAAGTGTTTGCATCCAAACTTTCGGGCGATCGCCTCCGAATTCTATCGGGGAGGTCTCAGAAGGCAGGAATCATTTCGACTGATCCTGTTTTTGAGTTTCGTGCCCTTAATCCAAAA